CTGGCGGCTCTCACGGCTCAATCGCTGGGAGGGCGGACATCGCTTGGTGAACGGACTGATGTTCTAGCCAATCAGCAAACACACGGCTTCTTCTGCAAATCCATTCGACCAATGATATCTAACGCCGGCAAACGAGCCCACTCCCCCACAGAAAATCTTCCACTGTCATATGTATATATAAGAGCTTTAAACGTCCAGTCGCTGTTTAGCTAAGTGTTAACACGTGTTCTAAAATAGTTTGAAGTTTATGTTAATAAGAGAAAAGAAGAATTTAATATATTTAGTTATTCCTCAGTCTAATGACCGTTTCGTTGTTCCAGCACCACAAAATGCAAATGCAATGCTGCATTTCCCCTCTTGTTTACACACTCACCTGCATATAGTTTACCCTCTGTGGGAACAGGCTGATGAATCTTTCAGTAGCCCTGATAAAGATTTAAAAGTTTTTCAAATCAAGCGTTTTAAACACGAGAGCCACTGTCACCACTTGTGCAAATGAGTTGCACAGTTGCCACACAGTTCTTCCTGAGTACTGTGACAAAGCACTAAAACACGATATCGTGAAGCCCATAAAGCTGGACGGCACTGCTTCTTCAGTGTCTCAGCTTCAGAGATACCTTTCATAACACAATGCCAACTCCACTGGGTCTAATTTGCTTATCAAAACAGGCAATTTCCCTGCTTCTTAGTGGTGGTCAGATTACGTTTACAGCCTATAGTCTTTCCATTCTTTAACAAAGTTTCATTTAACTGCAACCAACCACCCTACTCAGTCTATATTCCCAGACGGATTTAAGAGGCGTGCCTAAAACAGAAATAATAATGTGTTGGTCTTTTTGGTATTTATCCTCTCTGTATCTTAATGTCAGCTCGGGGGAACATGAGCTGAACACACATCTTTGTGTAGCAAAAAAAAAAAAAAAAAGTCTGTCCAGCAATCCAGAGAAATCCAGAAAATACTGAGAAACGATTCTTGAAGTCAGGCCAGCTTTTGTCCCCTGTGTGGTCAGACAGGGTAGGAGCAGTGCACTATAGGACATAGTTCCAGGCTGATGAGTTCAGCTGTTTTTCCAAACACATGACAAAGAGGGATTGTACAGAACTGCGCGCAAGACTCCAACACAAACACTCTTATATAAACATTTTTGCTGCGTAGGTGCACACAGAGTATTAAACTTCCAAAGAAAACCTGTAAGACAGTGCAGCATGGTGGTGCAGCGTTCAGCACTGTTGCCTCACAGGTGAAGGGCCTGAGTTCAATTCCACCATCTGGATGGGGTCTCTCTGTGTGGAGATTGCATGTTCTCCCTCTGTTTACAGTTCAGAGACATGCAGCTAGCGATATTAGGCTAATTGATGATTCATAGGGCAATTTAGAATGTGATCTGAATGGAAAAGAGTTTATCATATAGTCAAATGGATGGTACTGTTTCAGGTGTAGTTCTCAAAAATAGTAACATTCATACTTTTTATTGGATTTTAGCTTGGTAAGATTTTTCTTCTGGTCTGGTCCTGTTCTTTTTCTTTTTATATCTTATAAATATTTTAGATAAAGATATTTTATATCTTTCTGTTAGATGACAGTTGTAGCCATGGTTGAACGCTTAGGATGGAGAAAAGGTCTTACACTGACTGCCATATAGGATATGTAAAAGATAGGGGTTGTGACAGATTAGGATGAAAATATGCTGAAAAGAAAAAGGATCGAGAGACTGAAAGCAGTGCTCTGAAGCAAAGAAGGAGAGAGAAAGAAAAGGTTGGATCGTGTGGAGATTGTAGATTAGAACGTTCATGAGGATGAAAGGTATGAGGATTTTCATGGGTGATGGTTTGAGGGATGTTTGATCAGGGATGTTTGACACAATGTGTGTGTGAGCAGAGAAGAAGCATGTTACTGATAAAGTAACAAAAGGCAAATAAATCCATGTAGCAATGAAGTCACGGTAAATATTAGGGGAAGATAGGTTAAGAAGAGATCTAACGATTAATGAGCAGCAAAACAAACACCACAGATGTGATGTTTAATACGAGGTCTGAAAGCTTCTTTTTTTTATTTGCAGACAAATAATGAGGAACTGCATAGAAGTAGAAGTGCGGTGCTGTATGAGGAAGTTAAGAGAGACAGAAATGTGAGGGTGATTGATGAGGGAAGAGAGATGGTAGTGAGGTTTGCAGTAGAAGTGACAGATAGGTTCAAGTTGGAGGCTGGATTACACACAGAGTCGATGTTCAGCCCTTTCCTTGAAGGACACGCTGGCAGACAAGATCCCACAAGAGCGTCTGTGGTCTATGCTGTTTGCAGATAACATTGTGATCTGCTTCGAGAGTACAGAGCAAGTCAGGAAGATCCTGGAGAGTATATCCTCTGGGGGAAAAAAAACCCATGAAAGTCAGGACAGTGCATGAATGAGAGAGAGGACAGTGGATAGGACAGGTGAGAGGATTGGTTAGCTGAGGTGGCAACGGTTGAGGGGTCAAGTGACTGATGTGTGAACGAGAGGTGAGAGGTACGGTGGAGTGCATGTGTCAGAAATGATTTACCACAGATGGGCATACTAGCAAGAGTGAAGACAAAGGTTTACACAATGGCAGTGAGAGCAGCTACTATGTTAAATGGACTGGAAATGGTGCCAATAATGAAAAGATGGGACCCTAAAGGATGGAGGTGGTGAAGGAGAATACAGGTAGCTGCTGTGATGCATAAAGATTAAAAGGACAGGAAAAGAAAAATGTGTTGACTTCTAATGGGACAAACTGGAAGATGAAGAGCTGACATAAGTTGGGGAAAAAAGGTTAATCCTTACACAGCACAAGTCTAATACCCATGAAGCTAGACCAGTGCAAATCATTAAACTATTAAGAGAGACACTATAATTTATGCTACAGAAACATTTTTAATTAAATGTTCATGACATTCTGTAAATAACCAAGCAATAAAGAGAGAATGAACTGTATTTCACAATGTGAATAAGATTCCAAAAAGAAAACAAAAATAGGGGAAAATAGGAAAAAAAAACATCCTAATATACCAATTAAGGGAATAAAATATGTTATACACCAAAACTTGAAGCTCTTAAAACTCTAAGACTTCAATAATCAGACATGTCAAGCAGGTCACTGAACACAATCAGCACTTACCCAGTGCCACTTGGCAACCGGTTACACACTGACTGCAATTCTGTGCAAGTTGAAGCAAAGGTAAACAAACCCATAAAAACTGACGAGAACTTTATGTCCTTACACAAAGCGGAACATTATGTGGCAAGCAGGTGCTACCTTACATCAACCTGAAAAAGTCCACAGCCACAGGTTCTTTAGGAAAATGTAAAGTCAGCCGTAAATAAGAAAAACATTAAATAATTATAAGCCTCTAAAATTTCACATAATTTTTTTCAGATCCAGCAGCTAAGAGAGCATTTGACACTCCCTGAGCTCATCTCCCGCACAAGAATGCTACTTTATGACATTTTCTAACTCCACCGTGCAGTTTATGCCACTGCATTTAAAATGGCATTACAGTATATGTAAAGGTGCTCGGATACATCAGTTTTATTCTTTGGCATTTTGACCACTTAAAGAATTATTTGTTTTATTCAGAGAGTTTCACGTAATTTACAGATATTACATCATTAAAAAGAAATAGAGCAATATTTTAAAACACCATCCAGCATTTGATATCAACAAACGTGGCTAATCCCCGATCTAAAAGCTGAGGTATCAGGGAGCTCTAGGCTGTTTTTTTCAGTGAGTTTATTTCTACTGTTCCACCTGGGTGGTTTTAAGAGAATGGATTGGGTGTTCTCCAGCAGCTTTGACTCAGAGTACAATGCACTTCAGTCACAGTTTGATAGTTTCATTTAAAATCCACTGGACCTAAGTGTAATTCAGTGTATTTTCCCCCAGATTTTCCAGTCATCTAAAGAAGGGCATCGTGTGCATAACAAATTCATCATGAGATTTTTGTTGGCAGCAATCTGCATAAGTTAGAGATGAGCACATGCAGAAAATACATCCTTTCATCTGCGCTAAAAAGCATTTCTAGTGACAAAGTTTTGTCATGTTTTCCCAGACAACATGTAGCTGATGTGGAAATTGCCTTGTTGATATAAAGTATAATTCTTTTCACGTCTTGTATCAAATTATTTTTGTATTTAGAAATGCTGGCAGCACGGTGGTTAGCACTGTTGCCACACAGCAAGAAGGTCCTGAGTTCAATTCCACCATCAGGCCGGGGTCTTTCTGTGTGGAGTTTGCATGTTCTCCCCATGTTTGTGTGGGTTCCCTCCGGGTACTCTGGCTTCCTCCCACCATCCAAAGACATGCAGCTTGTGGGGATAGGTTAATTGGATAATCCAAATTGCCATTAGGTGTGAATGTGCGAGTGAATGTGAGAGCGAATGGTTGTCTGTCCCTGTGTGTTGGCCCTGCGACAGACTGGCGACCTGTCCAGGGTGTACCCCGCCTCTCACCCTATGACAGCTGGGATAGGCTCCAGCGCCCCCCCGCAACCCTGAGAAGCGAATGGATGGATGGATTTAGAAATGCTTTATTGACCCGTGATACCATATTAGTGGCGTGAGACAGTGTCTTTCATTCAATACACTATATCTAATCAAGTACAGAGGCTACTGGTAACTTAGTATAGCAGAAGCTTGTGCAATATCAAGAAGATACATTACTGTTTAAGTCTTAGCTGTGATCATACCTGCACAACTACAGAATTTGGTTCATGACCTTTTAAATAAAACTTCTTGACTCTAACATTGCTATCAGTTTGCAGTCTCACTGTTAGCTTAAGTTTGCAACCAGCTGAATTGGGGAGATTCCACTCCACTTTTTTCCATTCATATTGGCCAGAAGGGTCAAAACAGCAAAAATGAGCAAAACCCTTAAAATGTAAAACTGTCAGCAGGTGTCAGAAGAGTCCTGAAACCATACAGCATGAAGCCATAATAACATCTTCATTATAATTAGTAGATGAATCATCACAGTACAGAAAGTTGAAAAAGGATAAAAACTTTAATGGTGTAACAATGGGACTGTACTGGACAGTCAACAATAACATCCAGCATTGCCAGCAAGAGTTTACAACAGCATGTGATGTATTAACATTAAGAAGTAGAAGGACCAATTTATTACCAGCAAATGCTTCTTTAAAGAAGGTAATATAACCAGCTGCCAAAGTGAAATCTACAGCAAGAAAGCCAGACTGCATCCTGACTCAATCTAACCAACTTAATCAGAACAGCATAATCCGAACAAAAAAAGAGCACAAAACTGCATTTAAACGTCAGTCATGAAAATACAGCTTATCTTTGGAGGTGTGAAAACTGCGTTAGAGATCGAAAGGGGATTAATTCTCTCGCTCTTTCATTGCCTCCTTGTTCTTTCTCACTTCTTCAAGCTTCTTGTCCTGTTAAAAAATAAGAAGAAACACAACATTATTATTTTTAATATTACACAAGCTGATGTTGGTGCACCACTGAGAGCCTACCTTCTCCTTAAACTTCTCATTGAGGGCTGCCAACCTGGCAGTGCGGTTCTCTTTGTTCGCCTCCATCTTCTGATTCAGTTTCTCCTGGGCCTGCTTGCTAAAGTTGCAGCTTTCCTCAATGGCCTTCTGGATGACCTCCTTCTCGTGCTCTCGCTTCTCGGCGAGATGTTTCAGCACTTCAGCTTCGTGGCTCTGACAGACAGACAAAACAACTGTTGCACTTTATAGAATTCTAAACACACGGGCTACACTTTTTTCCTTGTGTCTGCTTATAAAGCCTGCTGTCAATCTAGATACCCTGCGTCTTTCTTCAGCAGCATCCAGTTTCCTCTTAATCTCATCCAGTGAGGTTTCCTTTTTCTTCAATGGGGACAACAGAAAATCCACCTTAGCGTCTGGGGTCGAGGGGCTTAGGATGACCTCAAACGCTTGACCCGATGCACGCTTATTCAGCTCTTTCACTTGGATATCTGTAAAACAGGAAATACTAGAGTTGCCAGGAAGAAAGATGGAGCTGCAGGGTAACACTGAACTTCAAATATCAGCTCCACACAGCAACACACTGTAAAATTTAAAAGCAAATAAAGTGTAAAAGCTGCTAGAACAGAGCAAACCATTGCACACAATTTATACCTACCTCCAGAACTCGCCATTTTATCAGAAGTGCTGCCTTTAATACCACTGTAAGAAGATATTTAAAAAAAAAAAACATTAATTAGTATCAACTGGGAGAGCATCAATGACACTTTGAAGGATGCAGAACTTTTCATGTACTTTCCCAATGTATGGAGCTGATGGTAGCAGCTCATGTTTTGGCATTTCACTGTCATGAATGTCTTTGGAAAAATACAAACACACACAGTGGATCATCATCACTGTGGGCTCCCAGGTGTAAACTTAAAATCTGTCAACTATGCTGGTGTGAATTGATTTATTTCCTTTTTTAAAAAGTGGGTTTGCATGTGGATAAAATGAGTTTTCTCATTAACTCTAATTATAAAACAGGCACCAACTGCATATTCAGTTATAAACAACGTTATATAATACGTTAACTTACCAGTCACAACATGACTTTCATTTAATTGTCTAGCAAAACAAGTTCTGCACCTCTATGATGCCCCAGGTATTCTCAGCTCAACAGAGCACAGAACAAAACGGTGTGAATAAGCCATGCTATAAGACCCCCGCCTGCCCACAGGTGGAGACTGCTGCCTTTTTTTTCTTTTACAGGAACTTACATAAAGGCGGGGGCGGGCCAAGACCTCGTTGATTAGACGGTGCAGTGAAAACAAAGACACAAAACTGCACTTGAAAAGTTGTCTGGAAAAATAAAAAACTAAAGAAAACGAAACCCCCAGGTTTGCTAGCAAAATGTAACGACCGATAGACGTTGCATCATAACAATAACATCAACAACAACAAAAAATGTTAGTGCAAAATAATTAATTTACTCTGAAAGTATGGATACATGTTAGCAGAACATTTTCTCGACTATACTTGTCAAAACATTTGAAATTTAAAAATCTATATTTTTCATCTACTTTAATGCAATAAAAATCCATAATTTCTGCACAGCGGCCATAGCAATTAACTCCATTAATAACTACTTCAGTGCTGTGAATCTGAACCTCAAACTACTCAAAAAAAAGTTCAAAACCCGCTTAAAAGTCTGCCAGCAGTGGTCTGAACGGCTGGTTAAACACATACATGAGACCATTGTCCTCACCGTCAAGTGCTTCGTCTTGAAAAGCAGACCTCCACCACCTTATTCTTCCCTCTATTCAAACTGCTAACATCTGCACCTTGGCGCACAAAACCCACCGACCCCATACGTCATCAGTGAGGTTTGCGTTCATTGGTCTGAGTCCGCCAATCATAGCGAGTATTTACAAGCGCGCGCGCCAGGAAAAGGAAGAGGTGAAAAAAAACAACAGACAGAAAAGCTGGCTCTGTGGGTAACTTAAAGCTGTACTGCTGTCAGTTAAATGATTATATAAACGGAATATGTCAGGATAAATGTGCAGCAAAGTAAATAGGAGTCTAAATAGAGCTAACGGTAAGCTCAAAGGGTACAGCTAAATAAGTGGTGTGGGTTTTACGGTACAATAAAACAGTAATAAGTTTTAAAAAAAAGTGTTTCATTGGCATACTCATATTAAGGTTATTTTCTCTTTTTTAGGCTAAAAATATCTCACTGATAGAAAATAGTGCTGTGACTGCAGATCTTTGTATCAAGCCTTTACCAAGTAAATACAGGGCCAGTAGTGCCGATACCAATACTGATACTTTTAACTTATAAATGCAGCTTATGTAAGGGAGACCAGCGTGCTATGACAAGATATATTAATAATAATAAATCCAATAAATCACTGTGGGTTTTTAAACACACACAAAAAAAAAAAACTCTTGTTAGCTTTTCTCATATTTTGAAACTGTTTTTTACCCCACCGCTGTAAAAGGCTGATTGGGGCTATTGCTGGGTTTTCGGATGGATGAGGTGGACACCCAAGTTTTTGAATGCAATAACTCGAGAACAAGGAAATGTAAGATTTTCAAACTGATAACATAGGTGTATCTACTAAAGATCTCAGAGGTCAGTGACCTCAAGGTCAGAGGTCATGTTATCTGAAAATCTTGTGAATGTGATAAATAAAGAAGGAAGTTACCTAGGATTTATATAATACGTGCATAAACTTAAAATCTCAGACGAGTTCAAAATCTCAAGGACAGAGGTCAACTTTTATAAAAAATCACCTAGGATTTTCAAATTTATACCATAGGTGCATCTGACAGGAGGCAGAGGGGTAGCACAGGTGGCTACCAGTTTTCCAATACTACCAGTGTTTTGGAACACTTAAAATGTAAATGTGCCTGTTTCCAAAGCCCTGGGTCAGCTTCTGGTGTTTAAATGTGCTATAGGCTATATATAAAATAGACATGACAGTTAATGCAAAAAGGTTCAGGCAATTTTCACAGTGCACGTGTTAGGTGTATTTTTCCACTTTCAAAAAATTTCAACATGATTCAGTGAACTACAAACTTAACTTGGAGGCTAGAAACAAAGTATCAATAAGATCATGCTGGTATTTATCTGATACCAATAACAGTGTTGGTATCGATACTATCAATATTTAAATTGATCCGCTCAACTCTAATAGAAAGTTGTTGAGGTGTCAACATATGTTGAGGCTCCATATTGGGTTAAATAATAGTTACTGCTTGCATAAAAGTCATTATTTATATTTTGGGTCAGTTAACCCTAAACTCTATCTATCCTGAGATAATGCATAAAGCCCTCTGCATGTTTGATTTTGTCACTTTGGCAAAAAAATATTTAAAAAAAAACCTGATTAGTTGCTCAGGGATGCAGAGCATGAAATCAAATATAGTAATTCATTTCTGGAAAAACAGGCTATGGGCCATTTGAGAGGACCTATTTTTTCTCTCACCGTTAATGGTAGCTGAAAATATACGGAGACTTTCATCATAGCTCAAAAGAATATTAAAGTTCAAGGGTCATTTAACTAGTAATGGACTCTTTATGAACTATAAGGTATCTGCTGTTTCCAGACAACCTCACAGTGCTTTGCTCTTTTTCTTTCTTCAACCTCTGTGTCTAATATAGTAGTGTTATAACACAGCAAATGTATTCATTCATTTACTGTACCGCCTTCACATTCATTTGCATTTCATCTTACAAGGCACAACAGTGAAACTTTTATGAAAACTGACATGAATGTTTTTCTGCTCTTGTGTCTCTTACAGCTCCTCCTTTAAAGAAAAGACTTCTGAATGAGTGATGAAGAAGAAGTGATGGACGAGAGGGAAGTTGCAATCTTGGCAGCTGCTTCCTATGAAAAATAAAATAGAGAGACAGACATAAGCTGCAAACAAAGTGAGACAGAACAAAGATGTCATTATAGAGGAGTAACAGGGGTAAGTTGCTATTCCCAGCAGCTGACAAAGGTTTTACACAGAGAAGTACCCAATCACCCACCTGCGTTTTTAAAGTTGAAAATGAAGCGACTGATTCCTAATTGGAAACAGTTCCCCAGGTGGCGCATTAGGAGAATAAACATTCCGACATTTGATAGATTTGGTCTTAATGTCTGTTTTTATATTTTCTTGTGACGCTTTTAAAATAACTAACTAAAATTACACCACCTAGTCAAGAGTAAATGGATAAATCTTTTTCTTCTTTGTTTATTAGCTCTCTCCAACTGTGATTCATCTTGTCAGAGGCTTGAAAGGTCCTAAAAAAAGACATTTTGCAGCTATAAACATTCATTTCAGTATAGATTTCAGAAACATATGTGTTAGCTACATATGCTTGGCAGGGATAGCTCAGTAGGTAGAGTGGTGGCCCCCTGTTTGGAAGGTTTGGGGTGCGATGCAGAGAGGAATTTCCCCATGCGGATCAATAAAGTATACATTGTTATTATATTATTTTTTTCATCCTAAGCTAGTTGATAGATTTTTCTCTACTTGTGCTATTTCATGCCTCTGTGTAAAATGTCTCCATCTATAAATGTGAAATGTCACTTGTAGCTTCAGACTTTACTTATTGAAATCTGTGTACACTGTGCAAGAACAAGTGGGGATTATGTCACAGGAGCTTCTTTAGCTGAGAGAAAGTAGCGTAAACTGCTGGTTAATACTGCAACCTAGTGTTGGATATAGAAATTCACTTTTCAGTAGTGTTAGGAGCAGTGCCAGTTCAGTGTGGTGATGCTATGAAACGCGTTTTTAAGCAAGCAATGCTTTTTACGCCTCACTTGTAAATGACTGATGGGTTATTGCCGTCAACCCACCGGGCAGACGGGCAGCGTGGACACCTAAGTTTGCAAATGCGATGACTAGATAACAAATAATCATGCAGTAAGTGCAGTTTCACAGCTGAGGTCTCTGAAAGGTGATTTATTGGCTGTGTATTGTTACTATAAGTACATTTTTGAAAAGTATGTTTTTAATGTTCGGTGAGTTGAGAAATGTTTGAAGTAGTTACTTGGAAAAAAACCCATCTTCTATTTCTCAGTAATCACACTTGTAATAGATTTCATTAAGTTTTTTCCACATTACAGGTTATATTAAAAGGACTATTAATAACCCCATCCCTGTTGGCTCCCTACTGTGCTCATGAACTAGCAATACGACAACAGCAGGGACTTTAACGAGGCTTCTTCTGCCAGCACCTGACTGGCTCTCTTTTTGCATCTACTTTTAAACAGCATCTCTTGCTGAGGGAGAGGACAGATGGTAGGTTTCAGAGTCCCTGTATTTACTGTCTGGTTTTGCTCTGCAAAATGTTTCTTGGTTGACAGAACTCTTCAAAATGCTTCAGACTATATATAAACTCTTCTTCTCACACTAAGAATCTATGATTTGAGTTTTTTCATATAGAGAACATAGCGTAGTCTGTAGCTATGGGGTTGATTGATGACGTTTGAAGTATGCTTTTATTTTGAAAAACTCCAGTAACTTCCGAGTGTTAGACATAGCAGCTATTAACGGGTTAGTGAAGAAACACGAAAGGCGTCGGAACATAAATACATACATTTCATCACATTTATGTGAAAATGGGGGCTTGCTTGGCTTTGTGCTCTTTGGCCAGCTGTGTAAGTATCGCATATGAATGTCTGTTTTAGATATTTCCGGAAGGCTTTTGTTTATTCTCCCACTGTTAGGTTAAACTAAGGATAACATTAGTAATTGGTGTCAGGTTTAAGTGTTAGTTGTGAGGTTAGGCATGTGATAACTTCAACAAATGTGAGACCATTTATAAATAGCTGATCATTACTGTTACTTGGGAAATCGGCCAATACTCGACGTTAGATTTAGGGCAGTTAGCGTAGCAAGCTAGTCAGAAGTGAACAGGCCATTTTCATCGCGTTGTTAATAAAATGGAAAGTTAGTGACGTTTGATGTTTAAAGCTGACGAGTTACTGACACCAGATGTAAGGCATGTGATTTTGATTGCCTTCGTAGGAAACCAGCTCATTTTTAGACCGGCTTAACAAGTGCAGGGTGTGTTCAACCGTTTATATATGGGAACTAGGGTATCTGTAAAGGTGGAGTGTTTTCGTTGATGAAATAAAATACATGGAGGAACCTTGCGCTCTAATGTTTTTTTTTTTTGTTTTTTTTTGTAATTAAGCATTTAAGTGAGAGGCACGAATTTCATGTTACTTGTATCTAAACATCAACCCTTGGAACTGCCATGTTTAAAATTTACCCACACAGTAGTTCAGCTAACCTATTTATGAGTGCCATCACACCTAAGCAGGTGATATATTTTTGTGGCTGTCTTCAGCTTCAACTCTCACGCTCTTTATCGCTCTCTCCTCCTACCCCTCCATCCTCGACAGGCCTCATGTCTGTGTGGCTCAGCACCATGTCTTTTGTGTGGTTGCTGTCCCTCTTCAAATAACTCCACCATCACCCGCTTGGTTTTCTCCTTCTTCTTGCTGATGGGAACCTTTGTGTCTGTTATCATGATCCTTCCTGGAATGGAAACGCAGCTTCGCAAGGTAAGACCTTTGTTCTTATTGTCATATTTATGTATATAATGATATGCAATAGTATTTAACATACAACTACTCATAATATACACCATATAGTCATAATAATAATCGTCGTAATGATCATAATAATAATAATATTACATAATGAGGTGTGGCTGGAAACTTAGGTCTCTGTAGGCCTAGATACCTGTTAGCAATCACAGCAACAACTGGTCCTGAGATTTGCTGTGATTGCTAAATCTCTATTTCTGCAGATCTGGAGACCAGTCAGTAACCCCTTGGTAAAGATAAGTGGCTAGGAAAAAGTGTTTGTGGCCAGTGGTTGCTG